CCTGCTCCTGCAGCCAGGATGCCTCCTCCCCATCTCAGCTGGCGGCAAAAAGGAAGCGGGAAGAAACACTGGGACGTTTTACAGAGAAAGCGAGAGACGAGACGTGCCACGAGCTGCCGACACCACGCCTGCACGCCGGCTGTGAGCGGAGCCCCGCGCAGTCAGACCCCCCGACAGCGTAACCTCGCGCAGCACAGCGCGAACCGCCTACCCCAGGCTCTGCGAGAGACCACACCATTGCAGCACGGTTTAGGCTTGGAAGGGACACTAAAGGCCATCTAGTTCCAACCTCCCTGCCATGATGCCAAATTGCATCGAACTCTCTAACTTCCTCCTCTGGTGGAGTGACTACGTTGGAGAAGGCAAAGGGAGGAAGGTCTGATGGGTTTGGGTTTCTGCAAGGCTGCCGGCGGTTCTGGACGTGGCACTCCTGCGAGCCTTGGCTGAATGTCCGCTGCTGGGCGCCTGTTCTGCCTGGTTTAAAGTCATACCCTGGTAGTCAAACTGGGAGGCTGAAGCTGCTCTTGGAAAGACTGTAAATGCCACCTGTCAATCCTGCCAAAGCCAGCAATGCTGAGCATTAATACGCTCTGAAACGCTGATGGCTCCACCTCAAATTACCGTAAAGCACAGGACATTGCAATTCTGCCACACAAACAAGGGTAGGACTGGAAAATGCTACCTCAATCGCAAGCTGTTCGAATGAATTATCCAAAAACACCTTGATCCATCTTTTCCTCCTCCAGCCTGCCAAAGCAAGGTAAACCATCCCCTGGAATTTCAGGTGCTGCAGGTTCAAACAAGAACAAAAGCAAGGAATAGTCTCATTTACAGAATATCTACTGCAAGCCAACGAAAGCGTAAAAGGAAAAAAAAGCAGCTGTGATCAGCTGGGTGCTCAGGGACAGCGTGGCTCAGCGCAGGGGATCCCAGACACAGCCCTGTGCCCCTGATGGGACTCAGGGGATTCAGGCTCAAACGGTGCTCCAGGCTGTACTCTGCCCGCTTTACCACGTTCAGATGGCAGCGGTCTCCCGAGCATCAAGGAGTGAAGATGTGTGAAGACTGAGAACATAAAGACAGCAGGGCTGGCTAAATACAGAGGGGACATAATGGCAAAAATGCACTACAAAAAAATAAAAAAAAACTTGGAGCAATCCTCTGTGATGAGCGGGAGGTCCAAGAAAGATGCTCTCGGGACCTCCAGTGCCTTTGCAGTTTAGCCTACAGCTGCACCAACCTGTGCTGCGCTGTTGGAGCCCACGAGCCTCGGGGGGGCTGGGTAAGACGTTCCCTGGAAAACAAATAAAACAAGTTCCTGCAGGAAACTCTGCCCTGAGTCATGAGACATACCCTGCCCTAACACGGGTTAGGGGACACCACTCAGCTAGAAGCATCTTCTCCAGGACAAGATGCACATGTAGCCCCCAAGGGGCTCCCGCTCCCCACCACACCATCACAGAGCTGCTGCCTCCTCACACCCGGTGACGTTCCTGGGGGCAGGGGACTTTGAGGGCCTGCTCCGTGGTGTGTGCGTGCGATCCACGAAGCAGCTGCTCTATCGGATCCCAGAGGTGCTCGCCAGAGGCAGAAGAGCTCCACACCATGCGATCCTGTACCTGGGGCAACGGGCTGGTGTCAGAAGGTCTTGGTGCCAGCAGTGGGCTGAAGGGGACACACTTTAGAGGACCCTGTCCCTTCCACGCCGGCAGCAACCAAGAAAGTGCTGCTGGGCGGGTTTTAAGTTTCAGGTGGAAAGAGGTCAGAGCATTGAGAACAGAAATGCATCACAGCCAGCTGTTTAAAAGCTAATCGCCCCCTAAAAAACGAGGGAGGGGGCAGACAGCCCTGCCAGCTGGGGACACACGTGTCACTCCATGTCACAAGCTCACACTCCGCAATGGCTAGTACCTGCCAAGCCTCTGCTTTTATAATGAGGGTCCTTCGCTGGACGGGCAGCCAGAGCCCCGCTGCCACGTGCGGTCAGATTCCCCACGCTCCTTCTAAGCTCCGACATCAGTGACGGAGCGGGATGAGCCGTGGTGGAGGGAGGCACCGTGGGATCCTCACCCCGGGGCAGCTCCCCGGGTGCTGCACCCAGAGTGAACTTGGTAACGAACGCACCCAGGCGGCATTGAAAAGGATGTGACTCCTGCATGAGTAGCTTTGTTTTTCTTCCTCTGATCTGACGTTTGCTTTCTGTCAGAGTAAAGGCACACGAGTACTTTACTCCTTTGGGAGCTTTCCCAAGGACACCAGCCGAGCTCAGTAGCCTTCAACGTGGTTGTTGAAGTGTGGTAGTAGTTCGTCAGCACTGACCAGTCTGGAATGATCGTGCTCAATTAGCTTTTAACTTCTCTTTCTGGAGTTCAGAGGAACACAAAGGTGACTGGAAATCAGGGGCAGAGCACCGCATGTGAGAACACTTAATCCCTTGAAACGCAAAACCTCCATCAAGGAAAAAGGATGCTAATTGGGTATTATTTTATAATTCAAGCATATAAAAATTAAACAATACTTAATGCTGCTATCACATTTTTCATTGAAGGATTAATAAATGCCTGAAAGCACATTTGCTATATGGGCAGCTGCTATTACACATGGAAAAACAAGGCAGAGGGGTGATTGGCTTAGTGATGCTGAGCAGGATCTTGGCACAGGGGAGGGCAGACTCCGGAGTCTGGAGACCCAGTCCCCTGGGACTCCCCCACTAGGCCTGCATTCGCTCCTGCCTTCCTTTGCAGCCCCACTATGGCACGTGCCCGGTGCTGGCTGCAGGCAGGT